CTTGGATGAAGGCTCTAAAGTTGTGTCTCGAGGGCTAGCTTTGAGCAAATACCTCCAGGAAATGGTTGCACAGTCACGGCTATAGACTATGGGTTCTGCTGTTTGGTCTGTACCGGAAATTCTCATAGGTTGTCTGTAAAACATGTACAACATTGTTCTTAGTTTACTCACAATTTCCAGCGATTGCAAGTAGAAATCAGAATTCTAAAACAAAAGGGAACAACTGACCTGGTTTGTACTTATGAGGTACAAGTGAAACCCTGTGAGCCCTCCAACAAACCACAAGGCGATAAAGCAATATATCATCAGCACAACAGAGAAAGGTGATGCTCTCATTGCTCTCCACACAGTTCCCCGTTGATCATCCATCAGAATCTTGATGTATAAAGCCGACATCGCAAACACATAGATGCAGAGAAGCGTTGCCGAAGAAACAAACATAAAGAAATACCTATAGTTTCTCTGCAAATGGACAGAACTTTCTAAGTCAGAGTCTACCCACGTAACAAGACAAGATGGCAGGATACAGATTGGGCAATCAGCTAAAACGGATCTTAGCCATTTCAGATAGGAGAAAAGGAAACTTCACACATTTTCTGGCGATATCCAAAAACAATATCCTTTTCAAAGGTCAATATGCTTTTAAATGAGCTTACCAGTCCAATGCATTGGCCCACCCACGGGCAATGATGATCAAAGCGCTCAACACAGTTGTTGCAAATGGAACAGTGAGAGCAACGAGGAGGCCTGTAAAGCATGCACGTATCGCAGTATTTCACTCTAACAGAAACGCCATTAACAATGACTTCTTTCGTCCTAGGAATTTGAACACTTGGTGTTTGTCTTCCATCAGCTGATACTGTTGTCTCATAGCGTAGTTCTTCCTCTGGTGGTTGTGAATTTCGTGGAACAATACCAGGATCTCTTGCAGATGTGAAGAAGAGGAGGATCAATACCTATCAAAATTCAAAACCAACTACTTGATTCAGCAAAGCAAAAAGAAAAATAAATAAATCAATCAAAATCTGACCCACGAAACAAGTGATAGAACATCTTATGCTACATGAACACCCTGTAGTCAAGTCATTTTCAAACAAAATACTTTTAACCAATCAAGGTCCATCCCAAAGAATCAAACTCTGATGCTTCATAAAACATAACATTTAACCAAAACAAAACAATTAATGTTGTTGATAACCCGCTTAATCAGCAAGCAAACAAGAAACAAACGTAAAGCAAGACATCAAATATTTACAGCAGTAAGAGATATAGGGCTATCAGGTGGGCGTCGGAGAAACTTACATAAATAGTGAACAGAATAGCGACCACGAAGATAGCATATCCCGCATTGTAGGGCGAGAACTCATGGCGAAGATGCCTTGCTACAAATATACAGAATAAAATAACTGGAACTATGATCAGTAGCACAGTAACAGGCACTGATCTAGCATCTGGACCAAATATTAATCTCCCACCAAAGATGAATTTCTGCAAAAGAGCACGGAAAGAGCAAATCAAGATCATATAGACCATTTTTGGTATTACCACTATGAGTTTAAACATGTGTGGAGTCAAGCAAAGCATTCAGGGATACTTCCAATTGCTGATACATGGTCATGCTTCAAATATGAATCAAGAAACCCAATGATGCATTAGTAAGTTCATCAATTTGGTAGATATAGAGATCACGGCTGCATGGAGCAAAAGATTGATGATAAGATAATGCTAAAATGCAGGTCTAGTTCAAACCATCAAACCAACATACACAGCTTATGAGTCCCATGACCACTAATTCCCCAATGTTTAATTCAAAACCCATCAAGCCATTACGATTTCGCACAAATAATAACAATCTTCCCAATGAAAAAAAAGTAATGATCAGAAAACAAAATGCACACAACGAACTCGAGAAAAACCTAATTCCAAAACAATTCCCTGTGAAAAAAACTCAGGAAGCATCGCAAACTCAACTAAAACCCAGGCACTTTCATACCGGGGAACAGAATTCAGAGAATATCCATCTTCCAGCCCCGAAATTAGAAAAGGAAAATCCAGGCTCAATCATTTGATGGTAAAAAGGCTTACATTACTTCCTTTCCAGGCTTCGAAGACCCGTTGTGTCATGGAGAGAAGAAGAAGAATAAGCGTCAGAAATCAGAAAAATCCTAGCTACCCAGCAGACGAATTCGAGGATAGCGAATATATTCTCTCCCCGTGTTCTATTTCATTTGAAAAATTCGCCACAACCTTCCGGTGCTCTCTCCAGCGAAGAAAAAGACCAGAAGAAATCGATGACAAATCCAACAGTAACCAGAGATCGCTAGCAAAACCCCACCACAAAGGGATTACACAATAATAAGGCTCGCGAGCGACTTCTGGTCTGACCTCCCTCAACGGGCGGTGTTGTTTTGTTCTGCGTCCTGCGACGAACGAGATAGCTTCTTCTTTTTTTTTTTTTGGGGTTCTCTCTTTTTCGTTTTTCCCCCTTTCCCTTGCTTTTATGACGTCATCAAGTTTACCTCCTAACCCACAATTAGTAGTAAGTACCCTCTCGTTTTTTCTGCGCATTTTGTGTCAAAATCCATTCCTCGTGCAAAACTATACAATTTTAGTAGGTTGTTTTGGATTTTTGTGATTCAAAAATTAGGTTTCGGTTATGATAATTCATACTACATTTTATGTTCAGCAAATTCAGAATTATCAAGTGCATCCTTTATCTCTGACTCTGAATAAACATCATTCGTTTCCAGATCTAAACAATACTAATTTGAAAATGTTGCTCCATTTTCATTTTGTTGACTCTATTAAGCTATAAAATGCGGGAAACATGCAAAATCAATGCATGACAATTGACATATAAACCTAATGTCTATGGACATATAATTCTAAACCAAGAGTAAAATATGCAGGTTTAAATTCGTGTTTATCAACTCCTCTAGGCGTAACTTGTGCTTGTCCAACAGGCCATAGCAAATTAGTTTTTACTTTTTATTAGGAAACACCTAAGTGAAAGTTTTCAACAAAAGGTTTATAAACCTTAGGTCGAATGTCCAAGACACAAAGTCTGTTAGACCGGTAAGCTAGCACTGGAATATTTTTTCACTTGAAATGATGGATCAGTTCACAATCACTACATAGCAACTCTAAAACTATTTCAAGAAAATATGCATAGTATCACTTGACTTTGGTATCAAATTACTTTGGCATGATGTCTCTCGTGTGTAACTATTTGGTGTGGCTATCTATTTTGGTTAGTTAGGAAGGGTATAGGTCAAAAGAGGATTTTACATGTAGCATTTTTTTAAGAATTTTACATTAGCAAGCTGGAGTCTTTCTCTTGATTCGTATTCTCTGAAAAAATATTTCATACCTAATATAACAAATCATTTGGTCTACCACTTGCACATTTGTTTATGTGGAATTCAGGCGTTAGTTGATTATTTGAAATGGCAGGGCCACATGTGAAACAGAATATAATACGAGATGCCAAAGGTAGGAGAGGAATAGATATTGAGGAAATGGTATAGTCGTAAGAGTGATAAAGCTTTAAGCAGGGCCGTTCGCTTCCACCAAAGGACAAAACTCTTTCCCGACTCATCTCTGTTCATTGGTTCCTCCAAATATCAAAATCGGAAAAAAAAAAACACAAACAATACGAATCCTCCTGAATAAAACGCCCGACCCTTTCTCTTTCTCTCTCCATTGTTGACTCTCCTCTCTCGTAAACATCGCTGTCTTCCAAGATGGCTTCCCTCTCCGGCCTCTACTCTTCTTCTT